AACTTTTTGTGGAGCTGATAGATCAATCCATATAAATAAATAAAATCCTATATTCTCGTAATCTAAGGAACAACCAATAACTAAGCACAGTTGGTTGTGTTCTCAGTCTGTTGATAATTCTAAGAACTTATGAGTGAAAATAACAAAGAACGTATAAGAATATATCATTTGCTGGTCGGGGTAACGAAACGCGTCACCGAACATGCTCGTCCTTTCAGCTTTAGGAGCGTGATAATGTACCTATCAGTCCCACTTTTAGTTGCTAAAGAGTTGACTAGCTGCCTTCTCTCTTGTCTATCACTTCAAAGCTTAAGACAGCTGGCGTAAATAGCCCTCAAATAGCTTTGTGTGAAAATGGAACAAATAAATTCATAAATGTGTGATGTGAAAGATGTCTAAAATGTGATGGAATCAAAACAGTTTGCTGTAAAGAATTTTTTCTAATACCATATAGTTTAAACTGAAGGAGAAGGCTAATCTGGAATATCAGCGAAGCCAGTGTTTATGTACTGAAGTAAAAAAAAAGTAGAGTTGGTGTGAACTGAAATATTTGTGGTTAGCATTTTATAAGAAGTGCCTATCAGCTTTACTCCTGCAGAATTTCGTTATCAATGTCTTGAGTGGACGTTGTATGAAAAAACACCAGTCTCGTACAATTAATTAGCTGACTACTATTGACAAGAAATATAAATCGCTAATGTATGTTTATAAATTTGTGTATATAAATATCAGCAAAAAGCTCGTTAATATTTTTCATTTTCAATAGTCACTATACAGTACGTCAAAAACAGAAAATATTAGGCTTGCTATCGATATTGAAGAAAAGCCGGTTTAACCACATACATGGGAACATTTTCAATGCTTGACAACCACAAAGTGAACAATTCTATTTGTACGTTATTCCAATAAAGGAAAGAACATGCAAATAAAATATTATGCCATTGTACCTCACTTGTTTATCCCAGTCTTTCTCCATAATTTAAAATTTCATATTTCAGTTTTCGAAATAAAGAAAGCACAGAATTTTCACTTAATGTTTTGAGTTTTTTTGGTTTTTTTTTGCTCTTAAAATCACTGATTGAAATATTTCATAGACAGACAGGAGCTTTACGTTTTAATATATATTTCCAGTGGTAGCATTTGTGAGAAGTAAACGTAGAATTTTGACGGAAGTAAATAATACGTTTAAATATAAGAAAGTTAAATTTCTTTGCTACTCGAAACTTACTGGGGCTCATTCCTTTCATTTTCTTCATGTACAATCATTAAGTTGACCATAAATTACTGAATAAATTGAATTGATGTGGTATCTTTTCGCTATACTTCTTGCGCACAACATTTATGTGAGGCAACATTAAATTCAAATTATATTCAGAAGTTAACAACATAAGTTAAGTATTGCATCACAAGTCAACTGCTCACGTGATTTATATACAAAAAATCATACAGCGCACACTCTTGTCTAAACAGTTCATGTCTATTATTTAACAAGCTTACCTTTCTAAAACGCGTGCACCCTAGTGGCACAGCGGCATGTCTGCGGACTTACAACGCTAGGATCCGGGTTTCGATACCCGTGGTGGACAGACCACAGATAGCCTATTGTGCAGCTTTGTGCTTAACTTCAAACAAACTAAAACGCGTACAAACTCTGGTGTTTAGTTTGAAAGTTAAAAACGTTACGTCATCATTTTAATCTGCCCTTCCAAAGCTTAAAGGTATCAAAAAAAGCCAGTATGTGTTGTTCAGTGTAAAACGTTTTTGTTTGGCTTGTTGTTGTAATTTTGTTGCTGTTTTCGAAGTAAGTGGTGGATGTGTGCTTAATATTTTAAAATACTGATTGTCTTGAATATAGTTAAAATTCACAAAAATAGTGGGTAATGTAGGGTTTTAAAAAAAAGGGGGACTTTTGATGTGCACTTCAGTAAATAAGATATAATGCATTTCGTGAAATATTCTTTCAACTTCTGTTTTTAACCATCAGATGAATTTTTTAAGTATAATTCGTAGAAACCTGTAACTAAAGAGATACTGTAAATAGTTATTATTGAATACTTGGAATGCTTACTGTTATTTTGTCTCTGGTATTGTTGTTGTTATGTCTCTGTTTTCAAGAAACAAAAAAAAACTAATCAAATTAAATGGAAGTCACATTTTGTTTATAAATTTGCCATCATAATGAAACGCAAGTTATCTCTGTAAGTAACTGAATACTGTTACTATAGTACATAACCCTCCACGTGGGCCATTTGTCACATATGTCTGTTACTACCAAAAAACATACATTATACCGTTCTCATTCCGTAGCTTGCACCTAATTTTGTTTGTACACTGTCCCACTAGTTGCTTTTAATCTAGACTGTTGAAATAATATATCGACTAAACAGGCCGAATTTAGTAAGTTTAATAATCAGGCTATTTGATAGTCGTAAATGTCGTGTGCAATAATGGGAAATATAGTACTTCCATTAGTTGTACAATAATTAATTCCAGTAAAACTTATATATATATATAAAAGTCCAAAGTTTAAATTAAAAATACATTACCATGCACCACAAAGAATAAACTTTTCGATTACAAAGAAGAGGAATAGGTAACAACTGAAGATCCTAAAAAGTGGTGAAGATTCAGGGAAACGTTTCCATTGTAAATTATCGATTCTTAGCTTTTCTATCTTGAGATTGGATCTCTAATCACTTCTCTCCAACCATTCATCGTTCTCAAGGGCAAAGGTAAATCTAGAATAGACCTTTTGAATAATACGTAATGAAACAGAGAACAGATAGAGTCATGGCATGAATTGGGTTAGCCATCCGATTATGGTGCCTTCATAGATTTCCAACCACCTGAAGGTTATTTCAGAAAAAGGACATTAATTTAGAATTTTGCGTGAAGTGGAGTTATCTGTGCCTTTCTAGTATGGATCTGTATTGAAAATAATCTAGAGTGAACTGCCAATTCATACTCAAGTCGAATGTGATGCGATGAATATTTTTATTGCAACTACACATAACGAACAAAGACTTGTATGAGAACTTTAAAATGTTATGTCAAATAAAAGAACAAAAGTTATACAATTACCAATTGTGTGAAACAAGCAAAAATCGGTTTATTATTCAAAATAAGAACATTTTGTTTGGTTTTAAATCTTAATAATTTGAATATTAAATATTTTATCTAAATATCTCTAAATTTGAAAGAAAATGTATATTTCATAAGGATGGTTTTTAAACGACAAATTTTGTTTTTGGCAAAACTCAAGATATTTTTTGTAATTAAAACAAGTGCATTCCATCTCATTTGAAAACATTTTCAGAAATTATTTGATTAGTAGTTTGTTTTTCCCGTTGAGACTTTTTTTATTTTTTTATATTTACTTATGCTTGAGCAAGATTTCTATAAACACACTAGGGATTTTTAATGGTGTTTACTGAAGAGTAATGAAATATTTCGTTCAGTGAACATGAGTCAGAATAAAAACTCCTTGTCTTAAATTTAGGCCTCATTCTTTAGGTAGAACTGAACTTGTTACTTTGTCGGGTGGGTATTTATTTGTTTTGTTTTTCGTTTTAGTTTTGCTTCTTCCATTTAAGCAATATCTTCCTTAGCAGGTGTTTTGTATTGCCTAGATACTTTTTTCTGCGTATGTTAATCATGAAGTTAGTAGACTTTTCACCGCTAGTTCTAATATTACGAAATTGCATTTGATCTATCTAATAAAATATTCAAAATTTCAGAATTTTCATCACGAATAACTTTAAAATTTAAATTATTGGCATAGAAGTATATTATTTATTTGTTTTTTGTTAAACACAAAGCTACACAATATACTATCTATGCTGTGTCACCATGGGTATTTATACCGGTTTTTAGCGTCATAAACTTTCAGACTCTACCGCTGAGCCACAGGGAGGCATAGAAATTTACATACTCATACTTGGATAAAGATATGGGATCTTTCTTTAAGCATCCTTTGAGAACGATACGGAATCTTATCCATACTTATCGAATAATACGGGATTTTTATATACCCATACTTGTAGAATGATACTGGATCTTTATATACCGTACTTTGAGAATGATAAACGATCTTTTTATACTTGTACTTAAAAAATAATACGGGATTTTTATATACCCATACTTGTAGAATGATACTGGATCTGTGTATACTCATACTAGAGAAATGATATTGGATCTTTATGTATCCATTCTTGGAGAATAATACCGGATCTTTATGTATCCATACCTGGAGAATAATACCGGATCTTTATGTATCCATACCTGAAGAATAATACCGGATTATTATTCTCCAAGTATGGATACATAAAGCCGGATCTTTATGTATCCATACTTGGAGAATAATACCGGATCTTTATGACTGTTTGGGGTTATCTATATCAATAACGTCAATATATGTGTGTATGTATCTGTTCCTTATACGTTTCCACATTTCTTTATCAATCAGCAGCAAATTTGACACAGTGATATAGGATGATTTGAGGAAGGTCATATGTTGGGGGATTGATCCCCCATCTAATTTCAGAAAAACTTCCAATGTTGTATATCCCTCAGCATTAGAATGAATTATGTAACCACTGATGTTAGAATTATTGAATACAGTATGTCTTTCTTTTCAGGCGTTATAATTGTTAGAATTCTTGAAAACAGTATGTATTTCTTTTCAGGCGTTATAATTGTTAGAATTTTTGAAAACAGTATGTCTTTCGTTTCAGTATTGGTACATTTATATATTTTTATTACACTTTAAATGTATATAACTAAGAAAAAACAGAAGCACAATTTCCATACAAATTCGTTTGCTACAAAAGAGTTTTTATTTCGCCTGTCCAACGGATGGGTACTCCAGCTAGTACTATATACTATTGTAAATATATAGATTTTTATCCTAACTTCTGGTGTTATACATATATTACTGTAAATAGATATACATTCGTACTTACAGATTAGTACGTGAGGTAACTGGGGTGGATGTCAACATGCGCGTGGGGATCCATACAGGCCGTGTTCATTGTGGAGTTTTGGGACTCCGAAAGTGGCAGTTTGATGTTTGGTCTAATGACGTCAGCTTGGCCAATTACATGGAAGCAGGAGGAGTTCCTGGGTAAGGATCATCAAATATAAGGGTAACAGAAAGGTATTTACGATAAATCGTAAAAAAGCAAAAGTATTACTTTCGAGATCCTTTTCCTCTAAATAAACGTAACAGGAAATGTTTGAGTAAATCTTATCTGCTTCAAAGTAGTAAAAAGTTTGTATTTTTTGTTATACTTACCAAGCCATAAATAACAAGAGGGTTTCTAGGATAATCATTGTATAAATAACAATAGAGGGAATGTTTATAAATCAATTCTTATGTACATAAAAGTAGCAATGGGGTTTGAGGGTAAATATTATTCAATATATAATAGTAGCAATCCCTGTGGAGTAATTCTCATCTAATTAAAAGTAATATAAGATTTTTCAGGTGTTAATTAAACTCCTAAGAGGGCTACTGAGGTATTTAATAAAGGAAAAGTTTCTTTAGTGTAAATATGAGGTGAATAAAACAAAGATCTTTTTGGTACACAATTTATCTTTGTAGCAGGAGTGTCTTTAGGACAGTTTATCTTAGTAGCTCCTGTGTCTCTAGGACAGTTTATCTTAGTAGCAGGAGTGTCTCTAGGACAGTTTATCTTAGTAGCAGGTGTGTCCTAGAACAGTTTATCTTTGTAGCAGGAGTGTCTCTAGGACAGTTTATCTTTGTAACAGGAGTGTCTCTAGGACAGTTTATCTTAGTAGCAGGCAAGTCTCCAGGACAGTTTATCTTAGTAGCTCCTGTGTCTCTAAGACTGTTTATCTTAGTAGCAGGAGTGTCTCTAGGACAGTTTATCTTAGTAGCAGGAGTGTCTCTAGGACAGTTTATCTTAGTAGCAGGTGTGTCTCTAGGTCAGTTTATCTTAGTAGCAGGTGTGTCTCTAGAACAGTTTATCTTAGTAGCAGGGATGTTTTCTAGGACAGTTTATCTTTGTAGCAGGATTGTCTCTAGGACAGTTTATTTTTGTAGCAGGAGTGTCTCTAGGACAGTTTATCTTTGTAGCAGGTTTGTCTCTAGGACAGTTTATCTTTGTAGCAGGAGTGTCTCTAGGACAGTTTATCTTAGTAGCAGGGATGTTTTCTAGAATAAAATTCATCAGAGTTAATATCGGGAGGAGTTATTTTGTTAAATATCTTGTTAACAAGATCAAGACTATGTATTAGTATACGAAAATCATAAGATTCTGTAGAAAGTATCACCGGCTATCTCAAATAAATTAACGATGTTCATGATAATGATTTATCTATATAATCTTAAGGACAACGATTTTCCAAAGGTAATATATGGTTAACTTCTTATCGGAAAAAATAAATCAAAACATGATAACATGTTAAGTTTTGTCTCTGAAAATAAAATATACTCCATAATAAAAGTTTAAAATAACGGTTTTAAATTTGTTTGTTTCTAATTAAGCACAAAGCTACACAATGGGCTATCTGTGCTCTGCCCACCACGAGTATCGAAACCCGGATTCTAGCATTGTAAGTCCGCGGACATACCGCTGTGCCACTGAGGGGCAACGGTTTTAGAAATAAAGATTCAGGGTATTGCTTGATAAATAGTGTATCGTATATCATGTAAAAAGACGTTTATATATTTGTGAACTGAAAAAGTTAAAAACATTTAAAAACGACTCTTTTGGTTACTAACCGACTCACTCCTAACAATAATGGGTTCCAAAAAGCGAATGTACTATTTTTTTAATTTTTAGAAAAAAAGGGGTATAAGAAGATCATTGTAAGTCCATTTTAACCATGGGATCAAGTTAACAGAAAATGTCTACTAGGGAAATGGTATAAGAAGATCATTATAAAGTCACTTAGCTACGGAACCAAGTTAATAGAAAAATGCCTGTTTTATCCTTTAGCTAGATTTCTTCCAGATAATCTGATCTTTTACCACTAGAAGGTAAAAAAAGTTACTCATTTCATTCAAATCACAACTGATCATGTTGTTGTGGCTTTGAAAGTAATAATAATAAGTTGTGATACGAATATCCTTCTTAACCTATCCTATCCGGATCTTCATGTAGTAGCGTCAAAATGAAGAAGAACTACATATGTATTTATCTTACATTCCTGCTGATTACGTGTCAAAGTTTAAATAATGACATTAAAAAAAGTGGGTTCATTACTTTAATCACACAGTGATAATTACATATTGTGCCCCGGTGGGACAGCAGTAAGTCTTCGAATTTACAACGCTAAAATCAGGGGTTCGATTCTTTCGGTGGACACGGCAGATAGCCCGATGTGGCTTTGCTATAACTAAACACACATACACACATCACGTATTGACGAAAAAATACTTTAGTATAAAAAATCCCTTATTCTCACAGCCTGATCGAAGTTCAAGCTTCTTCTTAGTCACACTTGAGCTAACTTTACCGAAGTTCCCACGTAATCAGCATGGTTCTTGGCTTTAGAGGCCTATCGACATTATTCGGGAGTCCTGGGTTAACTAACTAATGTCATGACAACGTAGTTGGTTTAAGTATCTGCGCAGTAAGTAAATTCATGGATTTGATTCCCACTTGTCAGTTTTTAATTCCTTCAGCAAGGGTCAGTTAGCCTCCGGACCATTGATTCTAGAGAGTAAGTTAACTAATAACGCTTAGCATCGCGACCATAGTCAAGTTATCAGATAAGAGCTCGCGTTGCTACGCTCCTTTGTCATTTGGTTGTCAAGCATTTTCTCTCTACTTGTTCCGCTGGGAAATATAGCTTGGTATAAAATGTGTTTTGACTTTCTAGAACTAGCAAAAAAGTTAGAAAGCTCTACATAAAAAGTCAAGTGGATGTTAATATATGCTATACATATATATCTTAGATATTTTTGTAAAGTGTAAGATATATAGTTGTCGGGTTTGTATCATCCAGCGTTAAATCGTTCTCTTACCTAATATTTGTCTTATAACACGTGTCGTTCTTTAGCCTCATTCACATCACCAAGGAAACGATGAAATGCTTGAATGGGGAATATCAGCTGGAGCCAGGAAATGGGGGTGAGCGGCATGTATACCTTAGAGATCATAACATCGAGACTTATCTCATTGTTCCTGACGACAAGACCAGGGTAAACCAAGTAAGATCTCGACAAAGCATTGTCAACCTGAACACCGTTTCCAAGGAGATGAGGATGATGGGTCACATGGATAATAATATGGGCTTGGAAACGAGGTAAAGTTTAAGTGCACGAATTATACAATGTTACATATTTGCAGATGCAGTACTGGGGAAATCATGTGAAATAGAAATGTTCCTTTTCTGGCTAAATATTTTAGTTTCATGATTAGTTTCATACTGCTTATTCAGTAAAGTGAATGTTATTGTTTGATCATGTAAAAATATCTTCCTTTTAACAGAGCAACTACGATCACCTATTGTGTTTTAAAAAGCAGTAATGAACTTGACCGTGGAATATATAAAAAAAAAATATATTATTAAACACTACATCAGGAGAGACTTCGCGCAGCGCCTCCACTGTATTGATGTTCTCATAGTGAATAACGTCTGCCATTCATGTTATCAAAGATGCAGGTAGAAAGTTGCTCTTCAGCGATTATCATGAACCACAATAATGGTTCATAATAGGTTCATAAAAATTCTAACAGAACATAGGGGCAAAAACCATCTTAAAAAGCAAACTTGTTCTTAAAACAACACTCAAGACCTTCTATCTCAATGGCTAAGGCTGAAAAAATATTAATAATAGCAAAAAAGTTGATTTTCCAGTTGTTATACAAAATTCAAAATACATCCATTTGTTCTTCAAATTATTATTATTATTTATATTATTCTTGTTTCACAAGCCTTCAGAAAAAACGACTATGAATATTTTATTCCAACGTGGGCAAATCTAAAACTAAAAAATCTTCTAAATAGGTCATAGGACTGACTATTTTATGTTGATTCTTGAAAGAGAAGGGGAAATACTATCAGCAAAAACAGCTAGGTATACTGCACCAAAATTTATGCACAGCTACTAAACAAACTCCTGCGAAGGTTGTAAGGCTATTTATAAGTTTATTCTTGAAAGTCGAGATTTCCACTCTCCAAAATTTTCTAAGTTCTTCTTCGTTACCAACATAAGCTCTTCGAAGCCATTTAAGCATTGCAGAAATGTAGAAGCTATTTAAGCCCCGTTATACTAGTTGGAAACACTTCGGTTTATTATAGTAAACAATGTGTACATTTAGAACAGTGTCTCCAGCCTTATTATTATTGATTATAGTTTTACAAGCGCTACAGAAAAAAACGGCTACAAATATTTTACTGAAACCTAGACAGTAGTAATGAATGCAGTATTGAGTATGTCATAAGGTAGTTTTAAAATTAATTCAAGCGCCTCCTTTTTTTCGCCATGAAGAATTTCTCTCAGTCTTTCACTTTCCGCCATTGAAAAAATCAGGTGTTTTACTAATGCACGTTAATTGGAAAATAATTGTTCAATTTATAGTGCATTAGTTGGAAACCGCCATGTTAAGGATTCATCATTTCTTGTGTCCACTGTTCTTCATTGTTTCTCAAGTTTGCAGTTGCACTTTGTCTCTACGTGATTTTCTGCCACTATTTCAGTGAGTTTACTAACAGTAGATGATTACCATAGTAGATTTCTCTACTTTTGTCAGTGATGATTTATTCTACCGATTTTCGTACTTCGCTGAAATGTGAGCGTGTATTATATTATTATTATTACTTATATTTTTGTTTCACAAGCCCACAGCAAATAGGCTAAGTATATTACACCAAAACCTAGACAGATGTACTATATGAAACGCTGCGATTGTTCATGACCTATTTAAAAGGTTGATTACTTTCGTTGAAAGTTGATTTACGTGGCTATAAATACATAATATATGTGATGTTGTTGTGAATGGTTACCTTTGTGTTCGACGCTTGTTAAACGCGTGTTTAAACGAAACCTTAGGCACAAAACCACCTGGCTAAGTAAATAATGGTTGAGTGGAAAATAAGCCAATGTAGCAGTAAACTGTTGAAAAACATATAACATTCAACTGAATGCATATGCACATATGTAGCTTAAAATTCATTCTCTATAAAAGGACATAAAAACTTAAGAAACAAGATAATTACACATTTTTAATTTAAAAAGGGGGAATATGGAACGTCAAAAAAAAGTATAGAAACAAGTTGAATCGAAAAGCAAATACTATGTTTTCAAGCCTACAACTAGGGACTCCAAAAAAGTAAACAAACTAGGCTGGAAATAGTGTCTACATTATTTACTGCCTAGTTTGTTTATTTTTTAAGAGTCCCTAATTGTAGGCTTGAAAATATGGTCTTGCATTTTGATTCAACTTGTTTCTTTACTTTTTTTGACGTTCCATATTCCCCTTTTTAAACTAACACTTTTTTAATTATCTTGTGTCCAAATAATTGTGGGTTTTTATTATGGAAATATATAAGCGAATGTGACCAAATTTACTACATATTAATTAAAATGTTATCTGTGTGATTGTAAAATTATAAAAAATGTCCTTAAAGCTCAAGTGGTCTTGAAAAGTGGTCTTTGCTTCATTAAAAACCAAATTATGAGTCTTGATGAGGAAGAGGCCATTCTTCGAAAGTGTTCATACATTTATTTTTTTGAAATGTGCGAATGAGTCTGTGCATTGATATAGGCAGCAGAGTTTGCCTTATTGATTTTACAATGATATTTCTGCATTTTTTCTCGGAAATAATTTTGGGCTGATTTACTAATAATTTAACAGATGAACAGAAACGATTCGACCATATTGTTAAGTATTTTTTACCGACGAAGATCATCCGTTTACTTAAAAAAGTGTAACACCTTTTATAACACATGCCAGATTATATTTATATATGATATACGTAATTGTTTACATTTGAAAATTACACGACAGCGCAGAGGCGAACGGGACTGAGAAAGATTTAACAACTTTTCTACGACGTTATCTTGTGATTCGACCCATTTATCCATATTTATCAGGCACGCGGTAGCATTGTCTTTGTAAGGATGGCTCTGATTATTAATCGAAATGGTATTTTAAGAATCTCCTCGATAGGTCATCAGAACTTTACAATACTATACAGTGTTTCCTTTTATAACAATATCTATGTAATGACTGAGTAACATGTTCTGGGAATGTCTGTAAATATCATAGCATAAAGTTGGAATTTCTTGTTCTTCTTTCTTCTACATCTTTTTTATTACATGATAACTCAAAAACCAAAACAATGGTGTCAACCAAGTTTACTGAGGTAATATAGTTTCAAACGAAATATCCGCTTTTATAGTATTATTAATAACTATTGGTACTTTTTAAAATCGTAATTCTTAAAGTTAGCTTTCTTACAGAAATTTGGTGTTCCTTTAAAAAGCTTAAGTACCGGGTGAAACATGAATTACCAGCCAATAATAAATAAACAGTAAATATAACAGTTGGAATCTCATTGTATTTACAACTTGTTTATAAATACAACCTTCCTATGTCTATTGAATCTCTGCATAACAAATCAAGTAAAGAAAAACTTTTCAAAAAAAAGAAGTAAACATATGGATGGCTAATATCAATCCTTCATAAACAATGAAAACAAGACAGTAGAGATGGTACTTACATCATCACTACATAATAACACAGGCAAGAACTAATATGTAGTAATATATATAACTATTAAATCGCAATTGAGTTTAATTTATCCTATGTTGTTTGTTAACATTCTACTACACTGTGTGCCTGTGCTATCATGCAGGAATGACGCAAATGCCATCCCTACTATCTTGTTTGCATTGTTTTTGAAAGATTAATATTAGCTGTCCCTACATTCACTTCTTTTTTTGAAAAGTTTTTATTTATTTATTACTGTTCAACGTCTTATGTTTTACTTCTTTTGTAAGCGTACACGTTAATTCATCACTTCAAAATCTTTTTTTTTTTCACTTTTAATATTAGTGTAATATTTGATATTAGGCAGACATATTTAAATAATAGCCTTTTAAGTGACGATAAAAAGAAACATGTGTTCATACATCACGAATAATCATTTTAGACGAAAAATCTATCAAGGTTTTTTGGACTACCACGTAAAACAACGAAAATCGTGAAATACAAGACAAAACAAATCTCTTTACCCGAATAAAGCAGCCGAAATGCAATGCTACTGAACTTTTACCCACGTCTTATATATCTAGATTGTATTGTTACTTTCAACAAGAAACACTAGTTGATATAATGCAACATTAAAATAAGCATTTACTTCATGTAGGTGTTAAGATTTATTCTTCGTCAGTAAGGTTTTCACTGAACGTTTCTGCTATGAAACACTTACAGATACCATACAACATTAAAGTAAACAGTGACCTCATACGTTTTGAAATCAGACGGACTCCCTTAGTGGGAAAGGACAAAAGACGTTAAACATTAACCTCAGACGTTTTGGAATCAGACGGACTCCCTTAGTGGGAAAGAACAAAAGACGTTAAACATTAACCTCAGACGTTTTGGAATCAGACGGACTCCCTTAGTGGGAAAGGACAAAAGACGTTAAACATTAACCTCAGACGTTTTGGAATCAGACGGACTCCCTAAGTGGGAAAGGACAAAAGACGTTAAATATTAACCTCAGACGTTTTGGAATCCTAAGGACTTCTTCAGTGAGAAAAAACAATGGTCATTAAGGTAAACACTTACCTTACAAGTTTTGGAACCCAAAGTACCCCTCAGGTAGAAAGGACATTAGAGTACACACTAACCTCACTCATATGTTTTGGAATCCATAGTATTCCCTCAGTAAGAAAAGACAAAATACATTAACGTAAACACTAACTTCATATGCTTTGGAATCCAAAGTACTCCCTCAGTGAGAAAGAACAATGGACATGAAAGACGATATGTACGTTTGTGTATGCCTTACGATAGAAGTATAGATGGATAATCGATATAAGTATGAAATATGTTCAATTTTTATAGCTAAAATTCCTTCACATTCTGTACTCGAAAAGTGACTTGTGTTTATGTTAAAGCTTGTTTCTGCCCACACTTTGACTGTCTACTTAGTTTCCATTGAAAAAGTTCTCCGGGGTATCACTGTCATGTCCAGATCGCACCACTTTTCCCTACAGCTTTCCATAATCCATCTACTGTAGGAGGAAGATGATTTAGGGCGGATTATGAGTTTAGCTTATGAAAAACTGTCTATGGAAAGTAGCGAACTCTTTCATCATTGTATATGGTCTTTTTCCTTTGATACCATTGAACACTCTCAAAGAAAGCTTACAGACACTTTGGTTTTACTGTGCTAACACTAGGAAGAGATCTTTAAGACGTGGCTTACAGTAGTTAGCTGTTTTCTTTGTTGTTGTTGTTTTCTCAGAAACGACCTTTCTACCTCCACCTATACTTTTTATATATGGGATGGTAACTTGTTGTTGTTTTACATTAAATACATGTAACTCTATCATAAAGTTTTAGCTTTAATGGACTAAGTTTACCTGTTTCTACAGTGGGACGACGTTTCAACTTCTATACTAGTCACCTTCTCCAGGTCGACGTCCGCATTGTAATTTTAAAATAACATAAAAATAATTTATCTAAAGTTCAATAACAAGTGCTCAGAATTTTTAACATAAATTATTAATGATGATTGAAGTGCAAGAAAATACTTCAATTTATATAACTGAAAACAAAATTTCACATCAGATTCATGCCAGAAATGGGGAAAAGATTTTATTAATCAAGCCTGTATGTTCAGATAATTCATAGCGTTTAGTTTGTTGCTGCTTTTGAAACAATCAGGCGATAACGTAGTTAATTCATACTTGTTTAATCAGGCGATAAAGTAGTTAATTCATACTTGTTTAATCAGGCGATAAAGTAGTTAATTCATACTTGTTTAATCAGGCGATAACGTAGTTAATTCATACTTGTTTAATCATTTTTAGCAGTTTTTGTTTCTCACAACAGTATCTTACATATCGATACCATTTTAACTTAATTGTTAGTTGTTAAGCACAAATCTACATGATGGATTATCTGCACTGTGCCCAGTGTAGGCATCAAATTCCGAATTTTAGCGATAAATCCTCAAGCTTAATGCTGAGCCACCAGATGGCGTCTTAAATTCTAAAAAGGTAAAATAAAACATGCATGTTATGGTTGTATATAATTCAAGTACTGAATACAGAAGCACCGAAACGAAACGCTATATGTATATAAAAAGAATGTGTGCCAGTCTAAATTGCCTAAATACGTGGATACAGTAGTTTAAGCTTAGTTGTAGATTCAATAATCAAAACTGCCAATTTTATTACGAAAAAGTTTCAACCTTCACATTTATATAAATTGTGAAAGTTAACCCTAAATTTTAACATCCTGTTTAAGAATAAAATACATACCTTCAAAGGCTTCACATAAAATGCCTTCCATAATATAAATATATTGACTTTATGTACTTTTAAATTTTAAAGATTGCTACAGCATTTAATATTATCTTAATTTTAATTTTTAAAGTTGTCGCTTGTTTATGAACAGAAGAACTAAAGATTATAAAGACCCCCAAGAGGAAGTGAACGATTACCTAGCTCGTGCTATTGACGCTCGCAGTATTGACCAACTGCGGTCCGAGCATTGCAGAAGATTCTTACTGAGATTTCGCAAGCCAGAAGTGGAAGAAAAGGTGCAAAAAACATTACATATATATATTATTTTCGTGTATTTATATATGTATATTTTATATATTAATTGCAAGAAGTGAGACGCAAAAGTGAAGAACGTCATGTTAGGACTCCCTTTATGCACATCATGAAGTACTGATTATGTTTTGTTGATTTTGACTACATTTATTTGTTTACTTCACTTTTCTAGTTTCACAGCTTCGGATTAACACAGTCATCGATCTGTGGTCGGTTTCTGTCAACCTCTCTGTTTCTAGTTTATTTTTGGGTAAGATTACCACACTTCGTTAGAAAACCTGAGCTAAGTCAGTGGTAGTCTGAGTCGTTAACTATATTTGCTAGTGAGTTTACCCTTTACTCACTCAACTGGTAGAATACTCGCCTGGTGTACAAGAGGTTTCGAGTTCAAATCCTGCTCACGTGAGATAAAACAATTGTTGCTCGAAACTGAAGAAGCTGACCAGTCCTCATTTAAAACAGTGGTTAAATATTTAGAGGAAGTAAAAACATTAAAACGTCATTCACAGGAATGAAATATACTATTTTAAATGGAATAAAATTAATTAACAACTTTTCGCTTGGGCCAGTGAAAGAAACCTGCCATCTTAGACAGAACACATTTTGCTTCAGCCAAACCCATGGTTACTGATAATAGGCAATGTTTCCCAGGTGGGACAAAACATAACATTCGCCAAGACACGTGTTTGCACTTAACATGAAAATCTACATATATTTCAAACAGAGATGTCCTGTTAAGTTTAGAGTACAGACGAATAAATTGATAGAGAATCCCACCCGTTCTCGGTTTTTTCCGTATAGTGGGGCATCAGGAAATGAAAAACATTAAAACACCAATAACTGCTTTTTTTTTTCTACTGTACGAAACAAATGGGATACCAAATATAAGTGCCTCTTAGAATTTCTTTTTTCAGTTGTGGAACTTCTTATGGTATTTAACACAATATATGGTATATGATGCTCCGAATAATTCACCCAACACGCTTCGGTGTATAACAACAAAATACGTATTTGAATTAATAAAATTTATTGCAGTTTGTAGCTGTTCTAAATTTACACAACTGGCCGAAGACTTGCTATTGTAAACTGCTATAACAAATTGAACTTGTTCTGGCTTTCTCAATTTAAAACTCATGTCAGAAACAAAGTTGTATTTTTTCACCACAAAGATTGCCTACCAATTTCACGAGACTTGTGGCTTGCACAACTTTACAGGTGTGAAGATCATAGAGCCTCATATGTTGAAAAGACCAAACACCTTCTAAAAGTAAGAGCCTATGACATGTGGGTGTTTCCATATAAACACAAAATCTGTAAAGTAACTCTCGTCAATACGTCGGTATAATGAAGAAACGGATCAGCAACCAAGTTTTCCAGTTTTACCATCCTCAATAAAGCTAATGGTGATCTAGAACTACTGATATAACAAACATTAAACAATATTCCGTTACACTCAACAATACTAGTCTGCCTTTAAGCTCTACATTTTTTAATTTTCAATTAACGTATTACAAATACTCTACATTTGAGAATCATTATTATATTGTTTAAGTTGTTTATCATTTTCCCATATCATTTTCTGTACCTTAATTTTACCCGCCGTCGTCTGTACTTATTCCTTGAAATTATTGCAATTTATAACTATCCTTAGAGAAATGTGTTTATACTTCTAGTTGTAGATATTAGAGATAGTTTTTTTTATTCCGAAACGTCTTATTTTCTGCTGTTTGTCGTAAATGTCATTCTCCTTTTCATCGGCAAACATTTCATTTTGTTTTTAACCTTGCTTTGATTATTACTTTTTTTTACTTAATTAATGTCGTTTCCAGCCGTCTCTTTTCAAGAAAAACTTTTGTTCAATGATTGTATCGATAAATGTTTAAAAGGCTCGTATTTCTGTATGAAAATTACTTATCTGTACAAATATGTTATTGTTTTTCAGTATATGCGCGAAGAAGACAAGATGCTTGAGACGTATTTTTTGTCTAGCGGACTCCTTCTACTTTTCATAGCCGTAATTCAACTTCTTATATTTCCAATGTAAGTGATAAGGTTTTGAGTTTAAACCACAATACATTGCCTGACGTATTAAAACATCAGGCGTTTTCCCCTTGCAATTTCATTCCTTTTTAAAAGGAAAGTTACTTTTTTATCCATTTTGAGGATAATACAATTTGAAAGTCTATTTTGAAAACCGCTTGTTTCTCATAATAAAAAAATAACTATTAAAAGTCAAAAGTTGATTCTTATTAGATACAATATCGTAGATAACGCATTTTAAAGTATATTTTAGTTTATAAAATGAAATCACAAATCATTCCATGCATTTTATAAAAGTGTTTTCAAACAAGTATGTTCCAAGCTAAGTCTCTTTTGTAAGAACGTTTTTATTAATGGTGATATCTGTTAGGGACTGCAAACAGAAACAAAAGTTACTGACGTATAACTTAAAATATAGACGTCGTTAGATATACACGATTGCTTCCGGTTAAGTATAACGCGAATGTTAAATTTAGTTATTTTTAAAAGTGATAGTTTATCGCAAGTTTGTTTACATCATTGTTTACTAATCATAGGTTGTGTAGTTCAGTTGTTGTGAACTGGCGATTGTTGTGTTATAGCATTATGTTACAGAACCTTCTAAGTTTTTCTAATTGTTTTAATTCAGTATTATTGTATCATAATATCTCATAAGGTGTGGAACTTTCTAGGCCTCTGTCGGGCTATAAACACTTGTCCAAAATGTAGTCAGAGTTAGTTATAGAGAGATAGAGAGATTCAGATTGCGTAATTGTGAGTTTAGCCATAAAGAGCATATAGTAGCGATTTCTAAAGTGAAAGTATCATCGATTGTGTTGTTCTAACAGAGTATAGAAGAAATAATCTGTCTTGTCAGTTACGTCCTAAAGTAACTGAACCAGTTTGTGTGGACTTTGGTGAAAAAGAGACAATTATTTAAAGCTCTGGATACAACTGTGATAACCAGCAGTTCTAGTAGCGAGTTTTTAAGTGAAATTTTCACTGATTATATTATAATAACATAGTGAAGAAGAGTGATTTGTCTTGTCAAATTGTGTTTTAAAGTAACTGAACCAGTCTATGTGGACTTAGATGAAAAAGAGACAATTACCTATAACTCTGGATACAACTGCGATAACCAACATTAAAACGAACATTTGTATATACGTTTTACTTGTTTTAATATATTATTTTAAAACAAGTGGATTGAGTGCTGTTTGTTTATTGTTGAAATTTATCGCCACAAGTACAGACACCTATTGTAAAGAATCTGGCCCATACATACATAGAAAACCTGACAGACATTTATGAAAACTGTTTTGATATTTACTTGTATACAAAGATAAATGCCTAAGAAAATGCTTTGGATGAGCTACATAAAGCTATTTGCGGTAGTGAATACCTTGCTATTTAGCCCTTCGGTGGCATAGTGGTAAGATTGGAGGTTTATAATGCTACAATTTGTGGTTCACTCCCTGCAAATGAGCACAAAGCAGATAAACCATTGTGCAGCTTGGCGCTTAAACAAATCTTTTTATTTTAGTTTGTTTTTTATATAAAGAATCTAAAGTACTGTATAAGAATTATAAGAATAAAAGTTACAGAAAACGTGCTGTCTGCAGCGTTAGTTCACATTCAAGCATTTCAAGGACTTCGGATTTCATCCACTTCCTTTAAAAGCTACAATAGTTTTTAAACCTCATTTATTTGTGAGAGTAGAAATTAGGTGTAAAATTTTAATTTGGATTTTTAAGAGAGATAGAAGTAGTCTATTTCAATTTATTTGCATAACATGAGGATGGGTGATAACATTAATATTACTAGACTTGTCTACCCAGAACGTCTATGTTGATAATAGACGTTTCTGCGCACCCTAATTTAAAATGTATACAAAAGTTTGAAAATTGAAAACCTAAATCTTATATATATATTTTTTAACAGCTACTGGTTAAGGCCATTTCTTCAAGTTCTTGGGGGTGTTTGTATTATTGGAGTTCTCATCCTGGTTAAGATTTCAAAGCAGGTAAGTGTTTGTACTATCTATTTTTAGTTTATTTCATAAAGTTTGCTGAACAAGAAAGCTTAAGCATATATGCCGTTAATCTCTATTTATTCGTTTACTTTCTCCAATACAATCGTAATCACAGTACCTTAATGAGAGTCTGTTTCGTGGTAAATACAGAGGAATGAGTACGTTATATTAAAACGATTCTAAATATGCAAATCAGCATGTCAAGTGACAACTACACCCGATATAAAGTCATGGTGAAAGGCAAGTATCAGAACTACATTTTGAAATTGTTTGTCGTTAATCAAGTAGTGTGATGCCACAGAAAATTGGTTCGCTTGGGGAAAGTACGCCAACCGGTTTATTTTTTTTTCTCTCTTTTACGTAAAATATTGATATATATATATACTCAGATTGTAAAGAAGTCTTCTAGATTGGGGATTTAAAAGTTTCAAGAAAGTGCTATTCACTGTACTTAATGACATTGGAAAAATAAATATGGATCAATTTGGGGTACAAGGACCATCGAGATAGGGTCCTGCAACAAGTCATACCTCAGCTGTGGTAAGCAAAGTGCAGCGTCTTGTAAGAGATGAGAATCCACAAACACAAAGGCCAGTGGCAACACTACCAAACACAATAAAAAAGGATCTTTGTCTGGAAAATCGATGTATACAGAAGTCACGTATACATAAGTTGCTTTCATGACATATCTGTTGAACTGTCCCACACCACAAGTAGCTGGAAAATGAAACGGATATTAATTGTATTCCATACTAAAACATACTGGTCAAGTCGCCGAATGCAGTACTTATGGATATCTGTGCGATCATAATGTTGAAAAGGAAACTGGAAAACCGTCGTCCTCTTAAACTAGATGGTTTGTAGAAATCTTCAAGGAAGAGTGATGTTATTCAGGCATGACAGCCTTGCGGTGGAAACTACGTTGCAGGGATATTATCAAAATGCATGGTCGTCAGATTGAGCATGACTGTGCGTTGCGACATGGACTGTAACGACGTGGTGAGATTCCAGCATCGCTTTATAATAACGTACTCAACCTCTTTACTCTATTTTCTGATTGGCGAATAATTTCTGAGTGTCTTATTGATAACGTTCCTTGTATCGGAATGAAATATTAGAGGCGTTTTAAGAAAATTCAACGAATTACATCTGTCCTAACACATATGGAAAAAATAAGTGTAAAGTTTTTAGTACTAAATAAAGCGATATCATACGACAGTCACTATGATTCTTTAAATTATTTTTGAAGAACACCAAATCAACGAGTAGTTGCAAGCTGTGAAAATAATAAGAGCTAAATGAAGAGCTCGAATTTTTAGATAGAGTGGGTTAATCGCATTTTATTACAACGCTGTTTCAGGTCCAATGTTGCCCTTCCTCCATTTTTAACATATTATTCAATCTAATGGTTATTTTATGAACTATCACCTGACACCGCAATTTGTATTGTAACACATTTCTGTGACGGACAACGAAATCCATTCATTTTAAATTACACATCTCGACAAATTTTACTCAACTCACAAAACTATAAACAAGTTAATGTCATAAAAGTTTACTGAGGCCGCATCAGGAGACTTAACAGACATATGGTCGAGAGGGATTGATGGGATTCTTTAATCACCTTGTTCGTGAAAGCATACGTTGAGTTTGGGATGTAGCTGGAAGTTTGTGAACTTTTTACCAGATGAGGATGTTTTGTTTGTTTGAGGTTAAGCACAAAGCTACACAATGGGCTATCTGTACTGTGCCCACCATGAATATCAAACCCCGGTTTTTAGCGTTGTAAGTACGCAGGTTTATTGCTAAACCACTGGGGAGGTGGGGGTTGAGGGTATTGCTTCTGTGGAAAACACCGAAGACTCCTTTCTTAGAAACGTTGTGTCCTTTGGCTCTTCATCGTTTAACAACCCCAACATACAAATACCCTATTTTGTATGGAGCTCTGACATAACTTCAGCCATTTGTCTACCATAGCAGGATTATATTATCAAATGGTCGATAATTTTCCATGACCCAAATATATAGGTGCTCAACATGTCGTCACGCTACTGCAATACTTATGGAAATCGTTTGAATAACGTGCGATTAACCTTACGTAAATTATCCTTATTGAAATATTTCATTTTAGTCTATAGCGGGCGATTAAAGTAAACTGTGTGTTTGATGAGATTTTAAGTTTCATATAATTGCTTTAAAGAAATTGTTATATATCTTTATAACATGTGTTAGATAAAGCACCAAACTTTTACATTTAACAACTTGTATGTTATTTTAAAGCTATAATATAGAATTATTTTCAATATAATAGAATACACAAGAAACATTTCAATTCCTTTCGTACTTTATATTTTCAGAATAAACTCAAATTTTATGGTAACACCTTAAAAAACATTCCGCCCCCAACACCACTCCCAGTGACACAGTAGTAACTCTAAAGGCTTATAATGCTAAAAACTGGGTTTCGATACCAGTGGTGAGCACAGCACTGATAATCCATTATGCAGCTTTGCGCTTAGCAACCGTCCAACAAAAAAAAAAAAAAA